ATTAAATTGTGGCAAACAGCCACTATAAATTAATTATGTAACAGACCGACCAAAACCCGTATTACGGGGTGTTTTTTGCTAGTTTGATACTAATAAAATAATTTTTTTTGTATCTATACAGTTTAAAAAAATTTAAATTAAATTTAAAAAAAAAAAATCAATTATTTGAAGTGGGATAGCCTACAAATCAAATTGAATTTAGATTAAAAAAAAACTCGAAATATAATATCACTGTAAACTATTTTCATTTCTTTACTAGACATTTCAAAATATTTATTGGGCATATTCAATTTAAATTTTTCGCTGACAATGGCCCATAAAATGCTGCCCTGGAAAAGCCAACCCGGATCCTCACCCTCTGTGCGCCCTAGTATATATATATATATATATATATATATATATATATATATATATATATATATATATATATATATATATATATATATATATTTATACATTAATCAGCTTCGTATCATTGCTAACCAAGTTAAAATAAAACCTACTAACAATAATGAAATCCCTAGTGCAATCAAAATTCAAAAACCAACAAATCCAAATGCACTTTCTACAATCTCTCTGCCTAAGAATCCATTAATATCCACTAAACATTTTTCCGAAGAATTTTTTGCTCAAAAATATTTCGGAAAGCTGGTTTTTTGTTTTTAAATCTAATCATAGTTTAAGGACTCGTCTATTATTAAAAAACAAATTAAGGCTACCGGACAACAGTAAACCTGAAATTTATTTAATTTACCGAAATCTCTTATTAGTGTATCTTGGTGAAACTCTAAATCTTAGCACTTTTTAACTTCTTTTAAACCTGATAATACATTAAATTCAATCTATGCTGATTCAAATCACCAGCCAAGTATACTAAAACAAATAACACACTCTGTTGAACTTAGATTATCTACAAATTTTTCTACCAAAGAAATATTTCAACTTTTCCTCTATATAATGAAGCCTTCTTAAGTCTGGTTTTAAATGTAGTCCAAAATATAATCCTAAAGCAATATTATTCGAAAACAGTACAGAGCATGCAACATCATTCGGTTTAACATTTAACGAAAATGTTATGCACCAACGTGGGAAAATGTTTTTTGAAATTAATTGAGAAAACATTTCTTTATAATAACAAACTGCATAAAATCTTTTACAAGAACACAGTCAAAGTTAGTTACAGTTGTATGCCAAGTGTAAATTCGATCATAAATTTGCACAACAAATACATTTTATGCAACGATACAAACTCTAATCAAAAAAATTGTAACTGCCTAAATAAAAATCTCCATTGTCCATTGTTCAATAAATGTTTAACAAGCAAAATACATTGTATATCAAGAAACTGTAACCACCACTAATAATAATTCATCTCCTATCGAAAAATCCTACATTGGTGTGAGTAAGATTTTTTTTAAATTGAGATATGCTAATCATGTTGAGATTTTAAAATTAAGATACGCAAATCTTTTAACATCCCTAAATACAAAAATGATACTGAGCTCTCAAAGCAGGTATGGAAAACTAAAAAAGCCAGTTTAGTTCCTATAATTAAGTTGAAACTTCTCAAGCGATATAAAACATATAATCCAACATTCAAATCTTGTAAATTATGTCTCACTAAAAAATATAAAATCTTAAATAGAAAATTATAATCTACTAAACTAAAGGAGTGAGATTGTTTCTAGTTGCAGACATAGAAACAGGTTCCTCCTTTCTCGTTTTAATACTGGCGATTAGAAAAGCTGTTTTTTCCGTGTTGATATTATGGTTATTACTATTATAATTATTATAACTAATATTATTATTATTATTATTATTATTAAAAAATAAACTATTATTATTATACTAGCTGGGCGGACCCGTAAAATACGGGTCTTTACCGAACCGACCATTTTTATACTTATCTGATCATTTCTATAGCTATCAGGACGTAAAATAAGGGTCTTAGTAAATCTATTCCACACCGACCTTTTCTATACTTATTCCTTACCTCAATATTTTTTTAAAACCGTTTTAAAAACTATGTACATATAAAAAACTATACTTACTTTTTGATATGACAAAAAAATTTCATTATATAACGTTATAATGTTCTTTAAAAAACTTTAAACGCTTTTAATATTATGCCGATTATAAAGATTTTAATAAGAAAAAACGTAAAAAAGACTACGAACTTTGAAAAATGCTAAAACATTCAGCACGTGATGCCGTTAAAGTACGCCTTAGTTAACGTTCATAACATATACACATCTAATTAGATTTTTTTTAAATTCAGTTGTTCCAAACTTGGTTTTGAATTTTTAATTACACTTCTTATGCGTCATAAATTATCTCAAATTCTAAATAGAGAATACGTTTATGGGCTAATTGGTAGCCGCGCAACACTTAGACAGATATAGTCATCTCACCCCGGGAGTTCATATTCCAGTGACCTTTTTTTTCATCCCAACTTACAACAAAAATAATTAAAAATAAATGTTATTATTGAAACAGTTTTAAACATTTCTTCCAATTTTTCTTTGAACTTAATTTTATTCACGGTAAATATACTTTTGGTGTTTGTAAGCATTTTTTTACGTTTAGTATTGGTAGGAATTATTTGCACGCACGTATTTTAAACAATTATTTTTACTGTTTCATCTAAAAATCATATGTAATTTAGTTTTATAATTTTTTAAATATAATATATATAATTTAAAATATTTTATTAACCCTATTTAAATAAGTATCAAAACTCTTTTCTTTAATTTAAAAGAATGCCTGCCCAAACCTAAACGCTCAGTTGATGTATCTCCGCTTTGCTTTTATTTGTTAACCGTTAGAAAAACATTACAAAAAGAAACATAATAGAGTCCATTAGTTTATAGCATCCGAGTAGACTCTTCTAATATTAAACAGAGTATCTTACAATTTTATTGGTTTTCTAAATTCTGTCATAGTTGCGCACTCGGTTTAGAATATTTAACGGGGGCGTAAATAAGTAACTGTAAAATTCTAAATATTTTTGTTATTTTAAATTAAATAGTTTTAACGTTTTATTATTTTGAAAAATATTAAGTTCAATAAAATAATTCATTTTAAAAATAAATTTAAGATTTTTAAAGTTTTTTTAAATAAGAATGTTTTTTTTTAAAACCCCCTCACTGTTTTAAAAAAATTCAAGGTCGCCGCGTGGCAAGTTCAAATCATCAGCTTGCTTTTTTTAATGAAATTATTGTTATTTAAAATGCAAAACAAAACAACTTTATAGTTCTAAATATTTACATGTTATATACCCAATTTCTTTGCGCTAATACGACTTAAAATAATATGACAAATAACAAATTTAAAATTATAATAAATAAAAGTTTACGTAAGGCTAACCACGGCATTTTGACGAAAATTTCAAAAATATATAATAAATAAAAGACTTTGTAAATCGATCAAAATTAAAGAGACGTTGCCGCAATGCTGTTTTTAAGTGAAAGTAAAACTGTAAAACTTGACATGTTTTTGTATGTTTTAACATTTCATATTTTGAAGTTTACGTAAGTTAGATATTTGCATACACTTTTGTTTACGTTTATTTATCAAAAAGTGCTGAGACTCTTCCTCGCCATTACTTTGGTTGCAATAGTTGCCATGGGTTTGTCAAACACGCTCGAAAGAGCGCTACTAACACTATTAAGTTCGGCAATAATATATGGAGAAGATAGCTTTTAGTAAATGGTATGAATATACATTTGATAAAGTATTTTTGATAATGTATGAATAGACGTATTACTAATGGTATTAGTAATACGTCTTTAGAAAAAGTAAACGCTTTTAAAAAATGATTAACGATTAACAATTTTTAAACCAGTTATAACAGGAAATCTACCTATAAAATGAAGAAAAATATTGTTATATAAAACACTGAATACACATATAAAAGTTGTTTAAAGTTATTTAAAAGTTGTCTAAATGTTGAAAAATTACATAATAAGATGTAAAAAAATATATAAAAGGTGACGAAACTTAGTCAATTATCAAACACTAAATAAGAAACTTACTTTGTGAGATCGCTTTTGTGGAAGTCTCTAGTATTTGATTGGAAGGCTGGAAACACTCTTTATTTAAAAAGCTATTTTATCAACAATGCTAAAGATAAAAAGTCACAGTGAGATAAAAAAATTAGGCATTTATTCAAAAAAATATTTCTTGGCTTTTAGTGAATGATTAGAAGGAGTAGTTTCAGTAATGAAGCTAGCTAATAATCATTTTTAACGATAGACACAAGCGTGAAGGTAAGCCAAGCTGTCTATCAACACAAAACATCACAACAGAAACATTACACAATGACAAACAAAAACACCAGTGGTGTAGACAGGACTTTTGTTGTTTTATAAGAAATTTAAAACCTGTTAATGAATAAGATTATTATTATATGCTTAAAAAAAATACTTTTTTAACTAATTGGCAGCTAAATTCAAGGGAGGAAAGCAAACCTTTTTAAAACATATTTGTTTTCAAGCCCCAACCACATCCATATTTTACAAATTATTTGAATTTGACAAACATGAACACAATTAAGTTTAGTTGAAAGAGTCTGAAAGTAATGAAAGAGTTTGAAAGTAAATAGTCTGAAAGTAATGAAATAGTCTGAAAGTAATGAAAGTAATAAAAGAGTCTGAAAGTAATGAAAGAGTTTGAAAGTAATTAAAGAGTCTGAAAGTAATAAAAGTAATAAAAGAGTCTGAAAGTAATGAAAGAGTCTGAAAGTAATGAAAGAGTCTGAAAATAAAAGTAAAACCTGAAGCATCAAAAAATCCTGCCTAAGTTACTGAATAATACACAACATATGACATTTGTAAGTACACATTACACAATGTATTCAGATATTATGTGTTTCCAAAATAATTAAAAAAGCTAGACAACACAACCTAGTTCAACACTTGTAACACCGCTTGGCACTAAACGCTGCCAAGTAACACCACAATTTAGTAACACCGCTTGGCATTAAGTGCCAAGTAACACCACTAATTAGTAACACCACTTGGCTGGCAAGGATCACAATCTTGCACTACACGTTGCCAAGTAACACCACTTTTCAAACATGGAAACAACATAATATAAACTTAAACACATATAAACAAACATATACAAACACAAACATCTATATATAAGTAAAAACATATATTCACATATATAAACATATATAGCAAAGAAAAAAAACATAAACAAACTTGTCAAAATTATAAATTAAGAACATTTGTAAACACAACATTATTTGTGTAATATTTGTTAAATGACATACCTTGTAATGCATGTTTATCAACTTTAAAAAACAAACTATTAAAAGATTTTGTTCTTGAACATGCAACATATAATTGGCCGTGTGAAAAGCAAGGCTTTTTGAGATAAACACCAACTTTATCAAATGTTTGACCTTGACTTTTATTTATGGTCATTGAGTATGCTAACCTAACTGGAAATTGACGACGTTTAAGTGTAAAAGGTAAATTTGAATCTGATGGAGCTAATTGAACTCGAGGAACAAATACCGTGTTACCAGCTGATACACCTGTTAGAACCTCACCATCAATGTAATTGTTGTGTAGTGCACGCACTATCAAACGTGTTCCATTACAAAGTCCACCTTTGAGATCTAAATTTCTAAGTAGCATTATAACAGCACCAATTTTCAACTTTAGGCAATGAACAGGCATACCTGATGGAGTCAAAGTATTTAAAAACTCAACTGGAAAATTATAAATTTCATTATGATCATCAGTTTCAATGCTATCTGAACTTAAATAAGTTTTAACATCACCCGGTAATCGATGAAGGACTTCTTCATTTATTGCCAATGAATCAACATTTGTTGGTGTTAAAATAGCACGTTTTGCATAATCAGCTTCTTCTGCACCACCAAAAATCTTTTCCACAATAGATTCATTATCATTGAGAAAACACTGCTCAGGTATTTCAATACACCCTTGCAAAGGATCTTCAGGCTTGACAGGTAATGTTCCACTTCCAAGCTTTAAAAGCCATTGAGAAAATTCCTCTTCTCCTATCTGAACCCTCATATTTTCAGTTAATGAAAACCTTTGCACATATTGCCAATGTTCAGAACACTTTATACATGATTCTACAACATCTGCTGGTCGACCTCTCTTCACAACTGGAAGTATTTGTCGAAAATCTCCACCCATAAGAATAACTTTACCACCAAAAGGAAACTTATTATTACAAATATCTTGTAATAACTTATCAATGGCACTCAAAGCATGTTTGGGTATCATAGATGCTTCATCGAGTAAATATAAACTAACTTGCCTCAGGAATCTACCATGAATGGAGTTTGGAGTTACATTACATGTGCTAGTTTCCAAAATTGGAACAGGAAGTTTGAATAAGCCGTGCAATGTGCATCCATTCTTAAGAAGAGTTGCAGCTATTCCTGTCCATGCAGCTGTTGCAGTTCTAATATGCCTGCTGCGTGTTTCAGCAATTAAATAATTGTAAGTAAATGTTTTACCACAACCGGCAGGCCTATCCATAAAGAAAAATCTTGAATGCTTATTTTCATTATTAGGTTCTTCACTAAGTGCAGCAAGGATTGCATCAGCTACATTACGCTGATTATCGTTTAATAATGGTCTAACTCGATTTGCTTCATCAATAAATACCTGAATATCTCCATCATCATTTTCTAGGACATTATCTAATAACTGATCTAATGTAGGCAAATTATAATCAGTTAAAGTTTTACCACTCTGATTAATTATAGATTCAATTTGACGAAGAGCAGTCTGTTCAGCAAGTACAACTGGCATTGAATGGTGTATGTAATCCTCAATCATATAATCTTTAAATGTATTCCAAAGGTGTAAATGATCATCAGGTTCACATAAAGTCAATATAATGGAAAACAGTTGCCTAATTTGTTTAGGCATTCGAGTTGCTACAGCTTCAGTTAATGTATTTCTCCATTCAATGTCATCTTGCAATAGACCTAATCGATAACATGCTTCACGAAATGTATTAAAAACAGTGCCATGAATAGTACGCAAATTCTCAAAAGACATTGCACCTTTTACATGCAAAAGCAACAATCTAAGAAAAAATACTTCACTGGTTAGATTGACTTTATACATTCGCACAATCACCTTATCACTGCCTCTTTGTCTTACTTTCCACTTGCAATTTTTACCATCAAAAACAAAGTGATATGGAATTTCAACATAAGAATACTGACGTGCTTCATTTATCTCAGCATTTAATTTAAACCAAGCGGTTAGGTGAGTGTCACGCTGTGCAGCACGATCTATAGCTACTCGTTCTTCTCCTTCGTTAAAATATACCCTCTGATTATCAGGAAGGTGGACTTGAAGGCGGATAATAGTATGTGACATATCACTTATGGAATACTCAAATATTCGCCAAAGAGCCTCTGGTGCAGAAACAAAGCGACAATCTAAATATGTGTTAATTTCATCATGGTCAAGACTTTCATTAATTAACACATGAGCACAATCATGCCCTTTATAGACATATTTATATAAATACTTAACTGACTTAATAGACATGCAAGCTTCAACATTAATATGTGCTTGGTATTTTTTAGATAACCAAGGGTTGTAGGGTACAACCCATCGATTATCAACTTGGTTACCTTTTATAACGACTACTCTACCATTATCTAAACGCCTGTAGTGAGGATAGCCATTGAAAGTTGCATCAGTGTGAGGATTAAATTCTTTAGGAAACTTTTTTGTGCAAATCCCATCTTTCATGCAAGAAGAATTGGGATTCAAAATTCCACATGGTCCGTGAATCATACATGTTTTTATAATTTCAAAAAGTTCAGGATCAACAGTTTGATCTGGAATTTCAGCTGATATTAGACTATCAATATCCTCTGCTGTTTCTAGCTTATCATCATTTACAAAGTGCAATAAAATATGTACATGTGGCAAACCACGTTTTTGAAACTCAATAACCTGTACATGACTTATAACTTTACCTAAGACTCCGTGTTTAAAAATATCATCTAGGAAGCATTTAAGTTTCATCTTAAATACACGACAAACTAAATCAGGTCTGTCAGATGGGCTCTCACCTGGATTTAAATTTTCTGTAATTTCTTTCCATTTTGGATTGCAGGTAAAAGTAATAAAAAGATCTGGTTTGCCATATCTCTTTATAATTGCCATTGCATCTTCAAAATTTTCTTTTAAAGCTCTTGGACTTCCAACATATGAGGATGGTAGTATAACAACACGACCTGGTCTTACATTAAGGTTATTTGCAGCGTTATTTACATGTTCATATAATGTATCATATTGTTCACTTCTAAGTCTGTTTTGGTTATTTCTAATAAAAGCAAGGCGCTGACCTTCAATCTTGACATATGCATCAACAGCATACTGTTGAAAAAGCTTCTTACCATAAAATATAGGATTAAAGGTTTCTCTAACAGAAAGCCTGTAATTGTAGTACTAAGACAAAGTAACCCGATTTCTAACACGTGTAGCTCGGTCAGGATGATGCTCTAGTTGCTCATGCCATCCAGCATCACCTCTTGGAAAAAATATTGGATATATCATTGGATCTAGATTTGCAGACATACTTGAAATTGTTTTTAAGGCCTGACCTCGAGGGTATATAACTACTTCCCTAGATGGAGGTGGAGCACCATCATCCCCAACAAAAACAATGGCAACTTCCTCATGTGAAGGAAGATTGTATCGACGTCTATCACCACCTTCAAGCAATGACATTTTAACAATCGAAGTTGGTCGACCTTCTAAAGCTGCTTGACGTACTTCTTCATCTTCAATTTCAGCCATGTTTTTAAATGCAAGAGCAAATGGGTTCTCTTGACTAATTATAGTCTGCAAAAATTCCATCAACTCACGTATGCAACAATCATTTTGCTCCATTCGAAAATTTAAAGCAGTATTAGGATCATAAACATATAACTGACAATATGCAGGCAGAACATTTTGATCAGGTCTCAGATTACCAACACGATGCACAATTTGTCCGCAAATCCTAAAACAGGGTGGCCCATGATCAGACGGAGGAGCTATTCTTGCTGTGAATGAAGCAAAAGATAAAAAGGCATTATAACTTCGAATATGCTTGAAGAAATTTTGATTCATAGCACGATCAACATGGTTGCCTGTCATTAAATTGTGCATGAGCAGTGGATATGGCGAAAGTGGAGCTAACGCAACTTTTCCAGAATGGCAGCACAGAAAATGTGTTTCATTTAAAAATTTTTTGGCACCACAATATTGACAAATATGGTTCATTTCTCCAAGGTAATTACTCACTATAAAAACATTATTTCTTGCTATGCAATGCATTCCACGTCTATGTAATACTCTCCTAGCCTGATTTCTTTCATTTTGGCGACGATTAATTTCTTCTCGCCTAGCCTGATTTCTTTCATTTTGGCGAAGATTAATTTCTTCTCGCCTTGCCTCATTTCTTTCATTTTGGCGAAGATTAATTTCTTCTCGCCTTGCCTCATTTCTTTCATTTTGGCGACGATTAAGTTCTTCTCGCCTAGCCTCATTTCTCTCATTCCGACAATTTCTTCTTATTTCAGCTCTCAAGTTATTTGACATAACTAAGAAACTATGTTTGATAAAAGTTGATTTGATTAATTTTTTGTTATACTAATCTAAAATGGAAAAACATAATATGTGCATTTCTAATTATCAATATAAACTCTATAAGACTATTTATATATTTTCTAATAAAAATTATTGACCTAAAGTCTTAACTTAACTGGTTTAAAACAGAGAAAAACCTAAAAGTTAAACATAAGTTGAACCACTAAGTATTACATTTAAAGTAATAAAACAAAATATTTTAGAAATAAATTAAAATAAAATTATAACAATTTTAACAATTTTTTAATGCTAATAATAACTAAATTAAATAGTAAAATTATTTACAAATAAAAAAACGACATGCCAAATTGCAAATTGCAAATAAAACTTGTCTAACATGTAACATCATATAGTTCACATGTGGCTATCTTTAATGATTACTTTTTTATAATAAAAATCTAAAGAGAATAATATAAACATTAATATGTGTATAATGCAACAATTAGGCATATAAAACAAACAAATAGAATAAGAAAAAATTGTAGCTAAATTACAAAATATTTACTATCAAGAAATCAAAAACTATATGAAATAAATAAAAATTAATAGACAAATTATTTAACATTTAACCACATAAGAGTTGTTTTGAAAGTTTAGACTCTCAAATCAGAAATAAAAATCAATAAATATAAAATTAAAAAATTAAAATATCTAAAATAAATAAAAATACTTGCAAAAATTGAAACTAAAAAACAACTTTTTTGAAACGTAAAGATATATTTACAACAAATAAATAAATTAACACAAAAAAAAAAAAAAAAACTACTGATAAAAATTCATAATGTTTGACCTTTGGTCATTCTGCCTCCCAGCACCACTCCTCCTACCGGTGGCCCCATATGGGGTCTGTCTCCTCCATCTAAAGGAGGGATCATCTCCCCCATATTGGCACCACCGGAAGAAGGCCCTCTGTGAAAATGGGCCTGGGTGCTGGGAGCGATATAAAAGGAAACTCTCCCAAGATGCTAAAAAAAAAGCAATAAATTTGATTACATACCATATATGCATATATATATATATATATATATATATATATATATATATATATATATATATATATATATATATATATATATAAATTCTGCATAAAACGACTAACATATTAATTTTAAAAACGACTAAAATTCACTTTACCTGTTGCAACTGAAGAATGTGTTGCTGTTAAGAAAAAAAAATATATATATAAACAATTAAATCATGTATTTATATACAACCTTCACAAATTTAATGTTTATATTTAAATACACATAACACCCATATAAATGCATAAGTGTGAAAACATGTTACCTGACACTGATGCCAATGGTGCTTCTGTGAAGGTAAAAAAAAAAAAAAAATTAACATATACTACAGTCATGAAACTTCAAACATAAAAAAAATTGAATGTTTATGTTTTAATACACATAACACCCACAAAACTACATAAGTATGTAAAACACACTACCTGAAATAACTGCAAGGGGTGCTGTTGGAGAAGCGAAAAAAAAATTAAAGTTTAAATTAACACAAACCAAACATTCATAAAATTGCATACAAAAGAAAAAAATTTAATGCTAATTTAAATGCATAAAAAATTAATATGCATAAAACCTATAAAACTGCATAAGTATGCTAAACCCACTACCTGACACAACTGCCAATGGTGCTTCTGTAAAGGCAAAAAAAAAAACAATTGTAATGTTCAAATTAACATATATTTAACAGGTATGAAACTGCATACAAATATTAAAAATGTAATGTTTCAGCTTGAATAATACAACACCCAAAAAATACATAAGTATGCAAAATACATTACTTGATGCAGATCCTGTTGGTGCTTCTGTGGAGGCAAAAAAAAAAAAAAAATTAAAAGTTAAAAAAATTAACATAAACTACAGAGTCATGAAACTTCATACAAATATAAAAAAATTGAATGTTTATGTTTCAATACATAAGTTTGCAAAACACACTACCTGAAATATTTGCCAGGGGTGCTGCTGGAGAGGCAAAAAAAAAATTAAATTTTAAATTAGCACAAACCAAACATTCATAAAACTGCATAAAAAATAAAAAAATTTAATGCTTATGTTTTAATACGCATAACACCTATAAACCTGTATAAGTATGCAAAACCCACCTACCTGACACAACTGCCAATGGTGCTTCTGTAAAGGCAAAAAAAAAATAGTAACGTTCAAATTAACATATATTTAACAGGTATGAAACTGCATACAAATATTAAAAATGTAATGTTTCAGCTTGAATAATACAACACCCAAAAAATACATAAGTATGCAAAATACATTACTTGATGCAGATCCCGTTGGTGCTTCTGTAGAGGCAAAAAAAAAAAAAAAATTAAAAGTTAAAAAAATTAACATCAACTACAGAGTCATGAAACTTCATACAAATATAAAAAAATTAAATGTTTATGTTTCAATACATAAGTTTGCAAAACACACTACCTGAAATATTTGCCAGGGGTGCTGCTGGAGAGGCAAAAAAAAAATTAAATTTTAAATTAGCACAAACCAAACATTCATAAAACTGCATAAAAAATAAAAAAAATTTAATGCTTATGTTTTAATACGCATAACACCTATAAATCTGTATAAGAATGTTTCAGTTTAATACACAGAACACCCAAAAATTACATAAGTATGCAAAACA